CCCCAAAACCCCAAAACCCCAAAACCCCAAAACCCCTATACCCAATTCCTGATAAATAAAATATATCAAAAATAAAATGGGAAATTGCTGAGCCGGTGAAGACGATAGTAAACAAACTAATATGCTCAAGAAGAAGTCTAAAGGCAAGTCCTCTAATGGACCTAAGAAAGGAAGAACCCTCACTCAAGATGAATTCGATCAATTCAAGCAAGAAGTCAAGGATGATGAGATCGATGATTTATGGAGCAACCCAGGAGATTGGGAAACTGATGATGACTCTGACTCAGATGAATTTAATAAAGACTTGGTTGACCTAGATAAGAAGGGAAATACAAAGAGCCTTTTTAGATCAAATTTCATGGATAAGCTTCATGAATACCTTGCTGATGATGTTTTAGCAAAGCATGGGGAACTGGGTCCATTCCAATATAGGTAATTTTAATAATATTATTAGCTTGTCATTCTTGGATCATTTTCCACCAAACAGTGGGGAAGAAAATTTCTAAATTCTATTTTGATTAAGATTAGTTTGCGATAATTTTCCATTCCGACAAGAACTAGAGTATGCTCCTTAGATTCTATCAAACTTTCATCCATTGGATATAGGTTGTTACGATAAGCCAATTCTAGTGGCAAGCTTCTTTCTTTTTCATTATACCTCAAAGATTTCTTTGCGTCAAAATCATTAAATTGTTTATACAAGTTTTTGTTTTTAAATCAAATCTAGCTTAGCATGCCTAATAAGTCTTAGCACTCATGTTAATATAGAAAGAAAGATTATAACGCGATGAAGCTTGATGAAGGCAAGCTGGAAGTCAGAAATCCTGTAAGCTTACTCATAATCCCTCTTCTAAAACTTTCTAGACTAAACTTGAAGATGACTCCTATTATTTTGGCCAATGGATCCAAGGAACTGATGAGAGATGTGGAAGAGGCTTCCAAGTTACTGAAGAGGGTGAGCTCTATGAAGGCTTCTGGAATAAAAACAAGAAAAATGGGAAAGGCAGAACTCTCTTCATCAACAGAGATGTCTTCCAAGGAACTTACAAGAATGGCCAGCCTGAAGGATATGGCTGCTTCGTTAAAGACAAAGATGTAAAGACTAAAGGTTATTATAAGAAAGACAAGCTCAATGGTAAAGGATTCGAAATGCTCCCAGATGGGACTACTTACAGAGGAGATTTTAAGAATGGAGAAAAGGAAGGAGAAGGAACTTTCAAATGGGAAGGAGGCCAATCTTACACAGGAGAAGTAATAAATGGCAAGCTACAAGGAAAAGGAACTTATACCTGGACTGATGGAAGAACCTACACAGGAGATTTCAAAGATAGTAAGATGGATGGGGAAGGAATTTTCAAGTTTTCAGATGGAAAGCAATACGAAGGAGAGTATAAAAATGATAAAAAGCATGGTCACGGAGTTTATACCTGGCCTGAAGGAAAGAAGTATGACGGAGGATGGAAAAATGGCAAGCAGCATGGAGAAGGTATCTACACTACTAAAGAAGGAAAAGTTAAAAAAGGACTTTGGGAAGATGGAGAGAAGATAAAGTGGATATCATAATTATTTCAAAACAAAGGCTCTTCAATTCTGATCATTTTTAATGGGGTTTTGGGGTTTTGGGGTTTTGGGGTTTTGGGG